GGAAATGAATCTGAGCAACATGAGAGTAAATGAATTTTTAAAGATGAAAACATTAAAGGAAATATAATTACTTTGGGAGCAGAAACTCCTAAAGCGCCAGCTGAAGATTTATACCAGCACAATGAATATATTAAAAATAAAAAATATATTGTGGAACATGAAAGTTCTCAATTATAAAAAATATAATGTGGAACAAAAGAGTTCTTCAGCGCTAGTCGATGTACTTACCGACAATAAAGTAAATTATCTAAACAAAATTACTTTGGAGGAAGAATTCTCTGAAGCACCAGCCGAAGAAAATACCGGTACAAGTAAAGAAAAAATTGAATATTTGAGGAAAAAAAAGAAATAAAATAAATCAAATACATTCTTCAATAACCGTGATCATTTCGAACGGATATAAAGGCAGACAATAATTGAAAATAACAGTAAGCAATACCCATATCCCTTTTGCTTGATATGGAATCAAAGGAAGAATATATGAGTATGTAATATACTTAAAAGAAAATAATAGGGGAGAGAAATAAGCTAAAGTTTTGATACAAAAAACAAGTACTAAAAGAAAATTTAGGGAATAAAGTTACAATTAACTACAGAAATAGAATAGTACATAAAGATAATACTAAATCTTGAATATATATTTTCAGAAAATGATCCCCTAATATTTCTAATATTAATTGTTCAAACAATGACAGACGTCGTGGAATATACAAGAGAATATTATGTCTTATTAGAGGACGGAGACGTAGCTTTATATAATGACTATGGCGACATTTTTCACATTACTAATTTAACTTGTTCAAGAGAACTTATAAATTCAAACAAAAGTTATATTAATAAAAAATACAGATATAATAATTTACAAGAGAATAATGAAAATTAGGTAGCATATATTAATGATTTAGATACAGAACCAGAAATTGAAATTATCGAAACTTTATTAGAGCAAATACAAAATAAAGATACAAGATATAAAAAAGGGATAAATGAATTAGGGACACCATGGAAGTGGATAGCAGGAACACCAGATCATGACGATTTAGTGTTAATAAATAAGAAGTTAAACGAACTAATTGAAAATAACAATAAACAATTCACAACAAACTCTGAAATTTTTAAAATGATCAGTCAATTAACAGAAACAATTAAAAATGTAAACGAAAATTCACATGTTAAACTTTTAATGAAAAGGAAATATTAATAAATATAAAATTAATAATATATAATATAAATTTTTAATAGCTGAACTACAAAATGTGGTTCATACGATAGCTATGAC